AATCAATAAAATTGACTAATCTTAAAAATTGAAAACTTATATTTTATTAAAATAAAATTTTAAGTAGACATTTTACATGAATATTAAAAATACATTAATTTTATTTTAATAAAAAATGGACTAATATAAAAATTAAAAATTCATATTTTACTAAAATAAAATACTTGGTAAGCACATATATTATTATTGAAAAATATATACATTTTAAATATTAAATATATTAAATAAAATTGACTAATATGAAACATAAAATTGCCAAAAATTATAATTATATTTTTCAAATTATTATTTGTTTTTAATTCTTGAACACGGTAAAAAGAAGAGTAATATATTTATACAACTATTCTATTCAGATTATTGATGATCTGGGAGATATATTGAAATATATTGAAATACATATTTTTAAGATCATTTCATTTTAATAGAGGATAAAATATATATATTTGTTTTACTGATATCATATGCTTGTATATCTGCTCTAGCATTCCTTCTTCTTTTCATTTATCCTCTTTGTGTTTATTCGCACAATCTGTGCACAGGGTAATTGCTAGTTGTGCATGCCCTCACTCAATTTGTGTTTGCGTTTGTGATCGGCACCTGCACAGTCGCATTTGCTGTCCCATACTTTTCCATTTCCATTGCGCGATCTTGCAACTTGAGAGAATTGCCACTTGGTCGCTGACTCAGCATCTCGATAGGAGATGGAGTGGCGGTAGTGAGGGGAGGGAGGGATCATCAACTGGCATCTGTGTTTAGCTCTGCCTCCACAATTAGGCAGGGCACGCAACAGCCGCAGCAGCAGCAGCAGCAGCAGCAGCAGCCGCAGCAGCAACAGGCAACTGTTAAGGTGCGACAGGTACAGGCTGTACTCGAAACTGGTTTGCAGCTACCCTCGTTGCAAGTCCGCGAGCCAGTTGCCCCGCTCGCCGATTTCCCCCCTCTGTCTGTCTGGCTGTCTGTCTGTCTGTGGCTAGTCCATTTGCGCGGCCATTGTTTGCGATGTGTTAACCTTAAGCGATTCCTGGCAGGTTGTTGTTGTTGTTGTTGGCCATGGCAGCCGTCGTTGTTCGCATGTGACTTTTGGGTTTGGCTTCGATCTTTGATTTTGATATAAAAAAGGGAATAAGAATAAGAGAAAACAAAAATCAAATGCGTAGACAATGCAGCGTTGTGTTAACTGTGGGAACGCCGCGAATCCTGCGCAATTGCAGCAGTTGCATTTTGATAGCGATCAACGGGGCACAGCATGACAGCCAAAGATGCAGGTTGCACTCGCCTGACAATCCTGGGATCCTTTCGCTAGACTGAGCCGGCCAGACTGAGCTACGCCAGGGCTAGCAGAAGAGCTGGAGTTGGAGAGGGAGTTAGATTAGTAGTCAGTGTAAGAGTCAGAGTAGGAGTCAGAGAAGGAGTCAGAGTAGGAGTCAGAGAAGGAGTTAGAGTAGGAGTCAGAGTCAGAGTGGAAGTCAGAGTAGGAGTAAGAGAAAGAGAATGAGAGTAGAGTAGGAGTCAGAGTAGAAGTCAGAGTGGGAGTCAGAGTAGGAGTCAGAGAAGGAGTCAGAGAAGGAGTCAGAGTACGAGTCAGAGTCAGAGTGGAAGTCAGAGTAGGAGTAAGAGTAGGAGTCGGAGTCAGAGTAGAAGTCAGAGTAGGAGTAAGAGAAAGAGAAGGAGAGTAGAGTAGGAGTCAGAGTAGAAGTCAGAGTGGGAGTCAGAGTAGGAATCGGAGTCAAATTAGGAGTCAGAGAAGGAGTCAGAGTCAGAGTAGGAGTCAGAGAAGGAGTGAGAGTAGGAGTCAGCAAAGGAGTCAGAGTAGGAGTCAGAGAAGGAGTCAGAGTCAGAGTAGGAGTCAGAGAAGGAGTGAGAGTAGGAGTCAGAGAAGGAGTCAGAGTAGAAGTTAGAGTGGGAGTCAGAGTGGGAGTCAGAGTAGGAGTCAGAGTAGGAGTCAGAGTAGGAGTCAGAGTAGGAGTCAGAGTAGGAGTCAGAAAAGGAGTCAGAGTAGGAGTTAGAGTAAGAGTCAGTGTCAGATTAGAAGTCAGAATCATAGCCGTAGCTGTATTCGGAAAAGCTAGAAAAATGCAAGTCGAACACGACCCTCGCTGCATTTTCGATTCATGGGCGCGTCTGGTGGTTCAATGACCCGCCTGAGCGATAAATGTTGCAATTGCAATTTAGATACAGAAACAGCTACAGCTACAGCAACAATGCGCAGCTTAAACAAATGTAGCCGAAATGGGGCGCCCGCATCTCGGCCAATCAAAAGAAAATTGATTGAGAAATTGTGAAAATTGTAATTGAGGAAAATGTGAAAACAGCGCAACGGCAGCAGAACGACACGCGGCGCAGCGTTTCGCTGCGTTTGCTGCCGAAACTCTCACAATTAAATAGCAAACAAATTTCTGCCAATTATTTGACATTAATTATGAGTCGATGAGGGCCAGCAACTGGACCTTCAATTCGAGATGTTCCTATAGATGTTCGACCCCTGTCAGATGCTCTGCGCCCTGAGTTTGCTTTCACCTCGAAGGCGTCCTGTCAACACACAGAGAGATATGAATATGAAAAGATGCTGGTTGGCTTGGGTTTCCAATCGCCTTGCACGTTTTGCATTTTCCCGAAAACTCTCTGTGAACTCTTTGAAGTGTAGCTGGCCAGGGCGCTAAAAAAACAACAACAACAACAACAAAGCGTCGAAGAAAATGCCACGCAAGTCATTGACTCTGCAGCTCCATCATCAAAACTATCTGCATGCGCGGTGCAATGGCCGGTGACGATGTGGACCACAGCTCCGGCTGGCCCAAAACGCCAATCGACCAAGAAGTTTTTCTGCTCTGACCCTCTCCAGCTCCCGCCTTGGCCCCGCCCGCAGCGCGCGATCAAGTTTTGCGTCAGGCAATTAAGCCATGACAGCAACTGCGACTCAGAGTCCGAGGCCGAGTCCGAGGCGCGGCAATGCAATCAGAAGAAGGTTCGAGGAAAGCAAAAACCTCAAAATGAAACATTTTTCAAAAAAAATAAAAAAAATAAACCAAAACGAAGAAAAACGCATTTAAACGAACCAAAAAAAAAAGTTGGTTTTTTAATGCGCAAAGCGCTTCAAAATGTGTTGCGGCTACCTGTGCCCAGCGCGATCCCCAAGCCCAGAGGCTGCAACAGACGCAAAAAAAGAGAAGACGAGAGGAGAAACTGAAACAAAAACAACAAGAAAATCATAAAAAACGATCATCAGAGCGTCGGGGCGAGTCGTGAAAATGTGTTTTTCTAAAGTCAAGCGACGTCGCCTCGCTCAGATTTCATATCTGGGATTACACAGTTAATGCATTTGCTTTGACCTGACCTCGACGACGCGTCGAACCCTTCGATTAGTGCTGCGCCAAAAGAGGATTTGATACAAATATATATACACATACACACACACACACACACACACATGCATATGTATAAATTTTATATTCTGATTGTCAACTAGTAGGCGGGCTGCATAGAAGAGTTCTCGATCTGCAGCGCGAGATAAATTTATGGCCCGAACCTGTTTTATAGCCAAAAAATATATAGAAAGAGGAAAAGAGCGAACGAACAATGAAAATGAAATGCATAAACGTAAATCTCACAGCAGGTAGTCCACCTTATATTACCTGAATATTGGCTCTTTTCCCTCAGATATGTGAGGAAGATGGCGACACGCAACGCGCAACCTTATGGATGGTGGGATGGATGACTTGGCTTTGGCCAAAAAAGGCGACGCCACATATTGGGCACTCAGGTTACGTCTAATGCAATTGCAGCCAAGATTATGCACATGATAATGAGCCAAAAAGGGTTTTCATTTTCATGCGCTCGACTGGCGGCGTGGGCGATCCGCTTTCAATTTTCCAGTGCCCTTTGTCGAAAAGGGTTCGATTGATCATCCGATTGACTGGCTGATTGACTGACGGATCGTTTGTCTTTGGGGTAGTGCACTTGCGTGGAAATGCAAACATTTGCATGATATCCTTTGTAGGTGTGGCATGAGAGATGCTCCTCTTGCTCCTTGCGGTTGCGTTTAGTGTGTGAAAATTGTTTGCCCTATTATGATTTTCCCTATTAGTTTTTGTTTTTTGTTTTTGTTTTTTTTTCTTGTTGGTTTTTTGTTTGTGTGTTTTTCGCAGCATTTAATTGCAAACCAGCAGAATTTGTGCGCCAATTGAGTTTTCCTCATTCCCATTCCTTTTTTTAGCTGGCTGTAAATTGAGTGAGCTGCGGGTCAAAGGTCGCCTGCTTCAGATAAGAATTAACAATTGGCAAAGCCGCGGGCAGTTTTCTTGCGGATCTGTTAAATTATTGTCGGATCAATTGGGCGATAAGCGCGAAAAATCTGTGAAAAACTAAAAGCAAATAGAAAGCTGTACGAAAACTCTCGCTGATTATTAACCCGTTGCATGTTGCATTTGTGTAGCTCGGAAATTTGTAATTTATTTCGTTTTGTTATTTTTTCCGCTTTTTTTTTTTTTTTGTTTTTTGTTCATGCTCAAATGCACCAATACCAACACCGGCGTAGCACTTATCGCAAAACAACAACAAAAGCAATAACAACATCTGAAATGCATAGACAACACCGAAAAAGTTCATTGACTTTCGCATACGAACGGAACAGCAATAACAACAACAACAACAACAGCGGCAACAAAAATACAATTTTACTGCAGCGTTTGCTGTGGCTGCTGCTGCGGGCCCCAACAGCACACAAAAAAAGCAACAACAAATAAATATGGCTGCCCAGCAGCGCAGCGTGCACAAAAGAGCAAACTCCAAAAGAAAACAACAGCAACAGCAAAAGCAACAAAAACTCATATTAAAGTGAAAATGAGCGATAACAACGCAAACATACAAACAGACACACAAGCACACTCACTCACACACACACACATACAGCTGAGGTCGCGCTGCTCCAAGTGAGGGAAAAAACTGCAAGCGAACGCGGCCATAATGCGCTTTTGCTTTAGCCTCTGCTTCGCCATTGTTGCGATCGTCGCATGAGTGCGAAGAGCGCGGCCCGATGAAGCTCGCAAGCACACAAACACACACACACATGCGTATCCACAGTCTTTATCATGCAACATGCATACATACACGCATGTAAACATACATATATCTGCAGCCTGCAAATGTCGCTCAATTGAACCAATTTTTTTGTAATAACAATTATAAAAGGCTTGTTAAGCTTTACATTCATAATGCATTAATTAAGTTTAATTAATGTATTTTAATGTGCACTTTGCACAATTACGAGCTTACTCGCCTTCTTTCTCTCTCTTGCTCTCTTTTATTCCCAGCCTATTGGCTGCTCTCTCTGCTGCATAAGGGAAATTTTGTTATGGGAATTTCCCCATCGCTTTTAAACAGCTGTTGCATACTTTTAAGCGCATTTGAAATTATACAAATAAGAGCATACTCTTAGGATGCAAGAAGAAAATGAATTTATTAAAATGTATGGCGAAAAATCTAAATAGGATTTTACTAAATAATATATTCGTTGCTGTCCAGCTATAAGCAGACAGCGCCTGACCCTCGTTGCTATGGCAAACAGTTAAACAAAACAAATACTTTGGTTTTTGGTAACAGTTAGGTTTTAATGTACACAATTGGGTGCCTATTTTATGTTTAAGAAGTATGAATTTTGGTACTTTCTCTAGGAAGATAATTGTCTAGTTGTGAGGTTTACAGCTCTGCCTTGGCCTTCTCTGGCGCTGCTTTGGTTAGTTTGTGCACACGGAAGGCGTCCAGAATGTTGAGCCGGTGCTGCAGCTCCAACTTTTTAGCAGCCGTCACCTTGCCGGCCTTGAGGCGTTGCAATCGTTTTGTCTCCTCCTCGACAAAGCTGTAGCCAAGCTCATTGATTTTTTGCATATAGACCAGATACACCTTGGCGTTCTGCTGCTCATTGAACTTGTTGCTCAAGTTCTGTGCCTTCGCCTGCAGCTCCTTGATCAATGCCAGCTGCTCGTCATGCGGCCGGTTGGCATAGTTCTTGAGGGCCTCGTTGAACTCCTTCAGGCAGCCATCGCAGCCAATGTAGAGCGGCGTATTGCTGCTCACAAAGGTCTTCAGATTGTCGAGCGTAACATCCAGATGGGCTGGAAATTTGACAAACTCATCGACGTTGCCCTTGAACAGGAAAATGCCTGGAAATTGTTTTTCATTCAGCTTGAAACGTTCGCCCAGCGCCTTGTTCTCCTGCTCGCCGTAGTCCTTGATGCCCACGGTGGCCACCAGCAGCTCAGCCGTCACCTTATGCGCCGCCTTCGAAAACTCCGCGAACGCCTCATGCTTCTCCCCATAGGGAAAGGCAATATCGAATTTGACCAGCGCATAGGGAAAGCGCACAATGGTCTTGTCAAAGTTGATCTCATCCAAGTCCACGCAGCCACTGCACGCAATGGCCAAAGTGCGGCGGGTCAGCAAAGCTGCCAGCAGCATCGTCAGCAGAAGTTTCAGCATTTCGTTTAGTTTTATTTTTCTTTTACTTCTTTTATTTCTTCTTTTACTGTTTCTGTTTCGGTTTCTGTGTTTTGCACAGTTAAAACCTTGACCCGACTCTGGTTGTTGCTGTTTAGCGACTGTTGACAATGGCAGAAGAACAAAGCTAAGAGCGAGAGCTCACAGCTCGCGACTTTTCGCTGAAGTCAACAGAAGTGTTTTGGTTGCTATAGCCACGCGGCCAGCTCTCTCACCTGCCCGACAGTTGTTTGCTTCTCTCGCTCTTCCTCTCTCTCTCTCTCTCCTTTCCTCTGCTTCTCTCTGGCGATCGAGTTGAACGACTTTTGAACACGTCAGTGTAAGCCAAGCCGCTGAGCTCTAGCCGAGTTCTCTTTCGTCGTACAAAACCGGCTAATGCTTGCCTTTGGCTTCTGCTTTACGGTTCTCTCTGGGTTCTGTCTGTGTGCTCAGCTTGTTGTTGTTGGCTTGTTCTCTAGTCGATCTTATGTAATGCCAGCTACAAAACAAATAATGTAAATGCATAATAAATCATATACGTGGTTTATTTAACCGATCCGGCCAGATTGGA